TTGATCCTAGCAATCTCCCTCTTTGTTTTATCTGATGCAAATCCAATGTCAATCCCACAACAAAATGCTAATATATACAAATTTATTGGTTTTCATATCATCACATCATCTTGTGTGTGATACCCGCCGATCCAATTCCCCTATAAGAAAATTTGCGCGTAATACATGTATATCTGTAAAAAGTATGGAAATATACGAAAAAGTCTAATATGTCTGTAAAAGACACGTGTAAAGTCACTTTTTACGTGTGTTTTACACAAAAGTGACTTTTTACGTGTCTTTTACAGACATATCAGACTTTTCGTATATTTCTATGCTTTTTTACAGACATGTATTAAAAATTCTTCAACCTAATGAAAAAAACGAATCTATGGTAGTTTGATAATCGTGTTGTGCATTTCTATTATTTATTGATATACTGCGTCTCAAAAAAATTGAATAAGGTATATTGAATAAATTTACTTGGTATCGTCCATTTGTTTGGTAAATATCGTTCTACAAAAATTTTCAATACTATCTGTTTTCCTTCAGAATTATGCGGGAATCATGTTAATGCCATTTACTATATTTGTAAAACGAATGATGTAATAATAAATCATAGCAACTAACTGCAATTATATATATGTAAGATTCATATGGATTCGGGATTGGCCAAAATCAGAACTAAGTTAGAGCTGGAAGATAAGATTAGTGTTAACCGAAAGATTCTAAATATGGTGGCTCCGCAGCAAAGGAGATCATTGATTTTGAAAAAATTACGGGGTGACTTTTGTATCATCATTTGCACAGATTTTGAAAATTGTCAAAAGAAAGTTAATTTTCTAAAATCTGCTTGTGATTTTGTCAAGCTATTAAAAATCTGCGTTTTTCAAATGATGCAAATCATAACCTGAATTTAAATCGTGATGATTGCTCCTAACCCCCCTTTTGCTGTGGAGTTACCCGTACAGCCAACTCTCCCTAAATGCAACAGCCATAAGTGAATACTCTCTCTAAATGCACGTTTTTGCTCAATCCCTAACTTATAAGACCTTTAAATATACTACTCTCCATAAATGCAATTTCTCTCTAAATGCATGTCCATGTCTTATTAACCATATGATTCCGGCGAATTGCATTTAGGGATACGTAGTTAACTCTGCTCCATATAAAATATATAGAAATTCTGTACTCATATATATAAATCGCTTAACCGATAATCTTAACCGGTTAAGGATTTTTAGGCGATTCAAATTACGTACTTAAAAACATCAATCATTATCTTGAAAAGTAAATATATTTGCAATTTGTTTTTAAAGAGAAATATCCATAATCGATTTTTTTGATGTAAAAGAACTTGAAATTACATTTTCTAGAATACTGACAATGCATCAATACCTTTATGGATCGTTGTCTTTTGAATAGTATTATACACGATCTTATCTTTTATCCTAAAGAAAAAAGGTGTTAATAACATTAATAACATCAGCATTAATAAAAAACAATCATTCAATGAGTGTGAAGCTTGAAGATTATCTAAAGTCAAAAATTAACAGTTTGGCTTATTTTCAGCAAGCAGTGAATAGTATATCCATGTCAGAAAGTTGATGTAAGTAAGCATTACTTTTTGTTTGAATAAGAAGTTATTTTAGCAATGTGATTCTCGTTATATTTAATTCATGTTTACAATATTAATATCAATATAAATAACTATCACCTCGAAATTATTTACTTACATTAGATCCCCGAATTTCGGCTCCACCTACAAGTCGGATTATTTAACCTTTTTTGAACAATAGGAGCTCGCGTAGATCTCTTATTTAAAGGGTAGCGATAATCTTTAGTGTTTAAGTACATGTACATTTATTGCGTGTAATGCAAATTGGTATTTTACAGTCCTAATGGCGGACCTTTTTTTTTGGTTGTATGCATCTGCTGAAATGCACTCAAGACACAATAAGCCACCTGCACATTCGTGCTGAGCTATGCTATATCTCCTATTTATCTGCTGCTACGCAAGAATTCGCCTTCTCTATCACCAAAAATTTGGATCCTGAGGCCTCGAAGACTTTTTGCCAAGTCTCACCCCAATTTTGCAACAATTTTTTAAATGAATCTTGCTTCTATTTATTTCTGTGAATGGTATAATATTTATCTTCATATAAATATTCAAATTTCAATCACTCACTTTTTGGTTATCCATCTAAAGCCTCTTTTAAAAAATTTCATGGAAATTTGTGGCGCAGTATGTAAAATGCATTTTGATATGGTTTTTATATGGACTAAATCCAAATTTATAAGAAATAATTGAGTATTTTTTAAGTGAAACATGGAAAACAGAGTTGAAATAATGATGTAACAGAAGCGAACAGTCACAGAAGGTTTTTGTTGTGTTAGTGAAAGAGGCGTGGTAGTATATTTCTGATGGTTCTTAGCTGCATCACCTATATGTCAATTTGCATTCAAACCTGCATTGATGCAGAGGGAGAGCATATTGAATTCTGATACTTTAGGGATATAAAGCTCTGCTTATATGCATTCTGAAAATAAATTTATATTCATAGTTATTTTTTATTTTTTAAAAAAACTGTTCGCCATTACTTAATCAGCTTCAAGACAACGGAAAGTCTTTACCTTTACTCTTATTTCTCGATTAGAAACAAGTAGATTGATTGAATATTATTAGCAAAAAGTTATCCTGCAAATAAAACATAATCATCATTAATCCTCAACGTTAATAAATTATCATAATTATATCTATTATCTTTTTTAGCATCGAATGAAAAGCATTAGAATTAAGCATATAATAACCTTTTCATAATAGTAGTTTATAGGTTGTATGAAACCAGGTATTATATTTGGAGTAATATATATTCTACAGATGGTATTATATTTAAGGGTACATTGTATAGTGTCTACATCATCATAGGGGATATTATTATTGGGTGATACTATATACAGTGCTAAACGGTACCTATAACGTAATATTTGAATAGTAGTGACTATAATAAGAAGTCAGAATCTGTTTAACTATCAAAAAAATAGAGAATTATTACTATTATATTAAAAGATTCATCACATCCTTTTGATTGGACAATTATTGTTGGCAAGGTGTACTTTATTTCTGTGTTGCGTCATTTAGATGGTCTGATTTTATTCAAAGTTAGAATTATTGGCGGTGGCTTCGATTATATTATATCGATATGGCTCATCGTTTGGTGAGTGCACTAATTCTCGTGATTGGGGCAAAGTCGAAAGAATTCCGTTTTATTTTGATGGGATACAAGTTGTGGCAAGTGAGGTGCAGCCAAAATTCTAATATTTGATAGCCTTCTTTATTTGGATGTGTAACAAATTGCAAAGTGCTTAAACCAATTGATTAAATAGAGTCTTTGATGTATTAAACTTAGGCAAAAAAATATAACAGATTGAAGTTAAGATATTAAAACGACAAATTATTTCCTTTGATTAATGCACTTTTTGCAACTATATAACCAATGCATGTTTCCACACTTTTTTCTCATAAAAAATACTCAACAATAATCAAACAATAATTTAATAACACATAAAATCTACAAACACCTAAATAATCTAATTTTTGGCATAATGAATCCAGTCCAATTATTTTTTCTCGTTTTTGTAATTTATTTCGCCGCAGAAATATGCTTCAACGATGCTTCACCAATGACAACTTTATCCGATTCTAACAATAAAATCGGATTTGTCGAAAGTCAAGCTATTCCTAATATAAATATAGATAATGAAATCGAATTCGTCGAACAATCAGAACATCCAGCTTCGTATCCCGTTGATGACTCAATCCAAGACCATGATCTTGATTCTGATGAATTAGAGCTTCAACTATTACCAGATGAAACAGAGGGTAATTTTGAATAATGCAATGACTATTTATTTTCTTTTTTAACTTGTTAATTTTACTTTATGTAAACAAGATACCGATGTTTCTGATATCGAATCTAATCAACGAAGTCGTCGAGGTGATCGTCGTCGTGGAAATCGTCGTCGAGGAGATCGTCGTCGAGGAGATCGTCGTCGTGGAGATCGTCGTCGTGGAGATCGTCGTCGAGGTGATCGTCGTCGAGGTGATCGTCGTCGTGGAGGGTACTGAATAGTAAGGAGATTAGAAAATTACAATTTATGTTAATGGCGTATATATTTTTGTAATTTCTTATTAGTCACTTAATATAATTTTGATACCAAAATTTTGTTACTGTCTGAATTTTTTTAAATGCCAATTTATAAAGAAAAGTAATATTAGTTATGTATGTCTGTCATCTTAACTGGACACTGAACTTATAAAATTTTATTTTATAAGTCCAGTGATCAGGTGGCCCGGTTTTTTTATGTCCAGCCCAACTCTGTTAGTCATACAACCTTATCAACTCCTCGGTAGGCCATTCAAAGAATTCTTGACTCAAATGCAGCGATAACTGTATATAATTTATTGCTGACCCTAAATTAATATAAAATTAATTGACTTTTGTTGCATGGCGTAATTCTCAAGATAAATACCTTACCTTTAGTCGCTACTTTAATAATAGCAATTAAATCAGCAGATGTATATACAGCGACTTCCATAACTATTGCACCACACGAAAATTTTGGCATCTCCAAATTGAAGCTGATCACAATTGTTTCTATACATGTTTGAAAACCAAAAATCTACAGAATTTTTCTGATAAAGTTGCAATCGTGGTTTTATTTATGCACTGAATTTTCCAGCAATTACGAGATATGATCGGATGATAATGACTGTAACTGTTCTGAATAGAAAGATGCTTCAGTCATTTTATAATAAAGGTTGGTTCAGGACAGTAAATTCCCCTTGATAAACCGAATTTATTAAATAATCCTTGATAAACTGGATTTTTCAAATTTTCTACTAATAGTCACGACCACTTCAGTTTATCTATACTAACAATAAAATATTCAATCGTTATTATTGATACCGATAAAATTTTGTCATAATTCAATTGTAGTACCAATTTAACATGCAGAATATCAATATAAATTTTTTGGCAATGTTCTATTTTGTATAAATAATTTTTTAAAAAATAAGAGTGACTCAATTGAAAAGTTAAAAACATTAATTATGATTTTCAATGATATAAGGTGAATGACGCCGCATTTATATACAATGATATATATAAATTTACAATAATTCATAAGTAAATGCGTTATTTTAGAATTTTACCCATAGCTTTAAGAGTGTTCCTAATATTTTTAATTCATTAAAATTAAAAAACTAAATTATATATTTTTCTGATTTTAAAATTTTAAACTTTAATATTAAAATATATTATTTACAAGTTATTTAGATATTAGTATTATTAAGAAAGTTAATACGAAAACCTGTCAAAATGATTTACTGTGTTTAAGAATTGTATGAATTTTTAAGATTCTTTAATATTTTCTATGATAAATAATAAAGTTTTTTAAAAATTTAGTACTTCAGTTTGATTTAGCAAAAAAAATCCAAGCTAAAAAACTTTGAAATTGGCTTGCGAATTAATTAGCTCATACAAAACTATACTTATTTTTTATTATTTGATCATTAATCATTTTACAGTAGTAAACATTATAAGTCATTAAGTGCTATATCATTTGGTGAATTTTAGAACTGCAGAGCTTATAAGTATTTATAAATATATTTTCATAATTTGAGCCAAATAATATCTCAAATTTGTCCAAAATTATTGGGATGAAATTTCACTCGATCATGTATAACAAGTCAAACTTTTAAAGGTACTAAAAAGTTTGTTGTCTTATGGTGTCCCCCACTATAATGCTACTAAAATTTAAAATTAATTAATATCTTTTAACATGAGAAATTTTTTATAGTATAAAATTTACGCATTTTATAAATCAATTACTAAAATCAGGATAAAAATTTTTAGCCCAGATTTTATAGTTTTTTTTATCGAGCAATCATTTACAAAGAACACTGAAATCATCTTCAGCAGAGCTACTGCCTCGTGAAATATTTTATCCTAATTTTCCCACAATCAATTCGATGCATATGTGTGTTTATTATTCTTTTTTGTGTTTGGTGCCTGCGTAAACAGATCGATTAAACTGGTCAGATTGTCATATGACAAGAAGCGTGATAAAAAGTTAACATTTGAAATTTACGATCTTTAGAACAATAGCCTGCCTGCAATTGTTTTTGAAATATATTATTGTTATTTACACATGCATGCAAGTGATTAAAGAGTCTGTCGCGCTTGCAATTTGAGCATAGACCGAGAAGTAGTCTTCTTGCTGACTAGTTTTTGTGTGTCATTAATAGAAGACCACCTTTAACTTTTTTGCTTATAAATGTTTAAATTTTTTGATGAACATACCACATCAAATAACATATAAAAATCTAGTATACGTGTTTCATGTAGCACTATAAAATGCATGAAGAAATTAAATATCGCTTTTCTAAATTTATTGACGAAAAGAAATATGTTGAATAAAATACATGAAATATTGCACGCGCCACAAATAATTTTTGCATTGAAATCAACTCGATTGTTAGAATTGACCCGAGAATTACATGTGGCGAATGTTTGATCGGCACTAAGTACATGTACATGTATCATTATCGTTATACAAATTTTAGGTTTAGTAGTTGTTTCTAATAATAAACGAAAAGGAATAATGTGAAAAAGTTCAGTTTTGTTCTTCAAAATGCTCATCGTTACTTATCTTCTTGACTATTCTTGTGAATGATTTGAAAATGAGGTCATTTATTTCTTTCATTATGTATGAATTGGTTAGCGGTAATGGTGGTAACTTGCCAATGGTATCACTATTTGCTTGATCCTATATCTTTGCTCAAATTGATGAGTGAAAAAGCTTGTGTAAACTTGTAAATAGATTAATGAAACATCACAAAAGATAAACAAGAACCTTTAATTCATCAAGTTCAATGAGCCTTTTTTTTCGTTATACAAGTCTTTTAGATATCGAATGCCTTGCATCTATTATTAATTCATCTTTTCAAGTTTTGTACTCATATCTTTTGAATATATTTTTTAAAATAGATTTATCTGTAAAATTTTTTAGATTATGTTTGTTATCTTTCATGCATAGAATGTTGAATAAGAAAAAAATTATTTATATTCCTATACATACATGTTTTAGGTAGCTAATTAATAATTAGTTACAGATCATAAATTTTCGGTTCCAATATTCTTAATGATTTTAGACATTTGCCAGAAAGTAACTACTAATAATTTACATATATAAACTCGGAGATGATACTTCGTACATATAAATCGTTATAGAGAAAAGAACAATGGACATGCATATATACTGGTATACATTTAGCTCTACAATAAAAAATTAGAATAATTATTTATTCATACTCCCTAGACTATTAGTGGTCTTAGTACTACCTCAACTCTAATCTTTTTATTTAGATTTCTTTCCAACTACGTACGCGAAAAGAATAATATAATTTTTTATGGTTTGTTCTTTTATTTTTTTGTTACCTTCGTCGTGTTGATTATGAGATACTCTCTTATGTTCTTCTTTCATTGTACCATTTAAGGAGAATTAAAAAGATTGCATGTTTTACTTTTATTTTATTGATTATATCTTAACCGCGTTTTTTCATGATTGTTGTTCGCCCGTAATTGCGCAAAATAACGAAAATCGGAAAACAAAGTATTTTTACGATTGATTTCTGCATCTAATTAAGAATAATGAACCAACACTTGTCTCCATAAAGGAGGGAAGAAATAGGCGTCCTTTTGAGTAAATATGCGTGGTCATTCTTACTTTCCCGGTCAATCAAGGGTTTCTTATCTTTCTGCTTTTTTAATGCAATTAATTAATTTTCAATATACAAGAAAAGGTCGACAAGGAGACCTTTAATCATTGATTGATTGAAAAAAAGAAAAATCTACAGTAATTTGGAATCGATTGTAAAATACGTAAATACATGTATTCGATTTAAACTAAATTAGATTCTACTCTTTTTAGTATACATGTATTTAGCTAAATTTCGATCACTATTAGCACGCGCCACAAAATTTTTTGGAATCGGAACCCGAAGAACAATGGTGTGTATTGTGGCACGGATATAAAATCTGGTTTGATCAGCCATTAAGATTACTTTTAGTAATTATAATGGTTGCTCAATTCTTTTGTTTACTCTTTTATACTTATCTAGGTTTCATTGTATTAATTGAAGAATAATAGCATTTGTATGGAGTTTGTTCTTTACAAAAATCTCAGAGGTCTATATTTTCGTCTTCTCTTTGTTACACATTATAGAAATTAATTAATTATTTGAGTATATAAAACATGCTAGCATATGAATTACTAATACACAATATAAAAAAATGATCTCGTTCTTTGCCAAAGATAAACGAAATAAGTTTATTCGCTTCTTTTTCTAATTTATAAGACTCATTAAATCAATATGCTAAAAATTCTTGATGCGTGCAATTAATTATAATTTTTAAGAAGTACATCGCACTTAGTTAGCAGTATTAGGTATTCATGTAGACTTTCCATATATTTTAGTTTTATTAATAAATTCTAACAAAGAATAATAATTTAGGACAACGTATTATAAATAAATTAATTTGGTAAACTTTAAATTTTCCTGCCAAAGAATTCTTATTATAAATAAATTAATTTGGTAAACTTTAAATTTTCCTGCCAAAGAATTCTTATTAATAGATTATATGTAATGTACCAAAATTTTCCAAGCACAAAGAACATTACAAATACTAATTCATTAATACTTTTTATAAATTGGTAGAGCTTCTATATTAGATTATATGTTTATACTCAAAATACAATAAATCTGTTACTTTAAAATATAGCATTTCAATATTTAGTTATTCAATTTGAGTTCATTTGATTTGTTTAATTCAGACAAATCAAATGAACTCAAATTGAATAACTAGATATCAAGATATTATATTCTAAAGTGACAGATTCATATTAATTGATCAATTTTCTATTAGAAATGAATTGTTAAAAAATGAATTAGTCAATTTAAAATATAATATCTTGATCTTTAGTAATTTAATTTGAACTAAAATAATATTATTTAATTTGTTTAATCAAAATAAATCAAAAAATATTATTTTTTAAATTGGATCACTGAAAATTAAGATATTATATTTTAAATTAGCTAATTAATTTTTGTTAATATCAAAAAAAAAATGAATTTGCTATTTTAAGATATAATATTTTGATATCAAGTAATCCAATTTGAACAAAAATATTCTATTTAATTTATATTTATTAAACAAATTAAATAATAATATTTCTATTTAAATTAGATTACTAAATATAAAAAATTAGATTATTATATATTAAAATATTTGTTATAAAATAATTAATTATATTTGAAATTATAAATATATAATATTTAATATATAATAATTAAAATAATATAATAACAAAAAAATTTATTAATGTAACATACTAAAAATATAAAAAATATAAGTTTTTTCTTTATATTAAGTTTTTAAATTTATTATAAATAATTTTTATTTTTATATTAAAATAAAAATAATATTATATATTTTAATATAATAATACTTAGAAATAATGCAATAATATCAAAATTTATTAATTAAATATAATAAAATATAAATTTTTTTCTTTATATAAAAGTTTTCAATTTTATTAATAAATATTTTTTATTTTTATATTAAAATAAAAAATAATATCATATATATTTTTTTAGATTTTTTAAATTTAATATAATTAGAGTTCTGAAAAAAATCTGGTTCAGTTTGAGTTTGGTTCAGTTCAAGCTTGAATCAGATTTAAATCAGACAAAAAGTCCAGTTTAAAAATTTGAACCTAATTAAAAATCTGGTTCGAGTTTGCTTTAAATTTTGAATCTGACTCGAACCTGATCAAAAGTTTAGTTCAAGTTCAAGTAATTGTTAGTTAATGTTCTAAGTAAAATTATAGATCATAATATAAGCTATAAATTGAAATAAGATAATTAATATTTAGGATGAATATTTAAGAAGTTATATGAATTTAAAAAATAATTTTAATTATTACAATTTTAATCTACTTTAGTTTTAGTATAATAAATATTTATTTTGCTATAGTAATCATAAACTATAATTATAAATAAAGTTGTAGTCAGAAATAAGAACTACAAATTGGTATAAGATAGTTATTATTAATAATAATTATTCAAAGAGTTATATAGCATTTATGATTAAATTTTAATTCTTACTAAATATTATAAATTGTATTTTGTGCTTATAAGTAAAGTTATAGCTTATATTTAGAGCTACAAATTGATATATAATACTATATGTCAATCTTTAATCAAATTCGAACCAGACTCAAACTTGTATAACAGTTTGATTCGAGTTTGGTTCAAACTTTAAATCTTTCTTGAACTTAAGCCAAAGTTTGATTCAAGTTTGGTTCAAATTTTGAACTGAACTCGAACCTGAACAAAAGTTCAGTTCAGTTTGGTTCATAGGAACACTAAAACTATTTTAATTATATATAAAGTTAATTATTTTTTTATAATTAAAACATATAAAAAATAATTAACTTTATATATAATTAGAACAACTTTATTAGATTAAATCTAAAAAATCTGAAAAAAATATATATTAAAATATGTAATATTATTTTTATTTTAATATAAAATAAATAATACTTATTAGTAAAGTTAAAAACTTTTATATAAAAGAATAATATATATTTTATTATATTTAATTAATAAATTTTGACATTATTATATTATTTTTGATTGTCACTATATGTAATATTATCTATAAATTAAAAATATTTATTAGTAAAATTGAAAACTTTTATATAAAAAATTTATATTTTATTATATTTAATTAATAAATTTTGATATTATTACATTATTTTTAATTATTACTATAATTTTATATTGAAATTTATATAATAAAATTATATAAAAATCTAATACTTACCTTATAAAATAATAATACAAAAATTTATAAGAGAATTGATAGATTATATTATAATAAATTAATTTTCTTTTTTTCTTTTAAATGAAATTTTTATTATATTTAATTAGCTAATTATTTTTGATTATATGAAAGATAAAATTTTTCTCTCTCTTTGATAATTATATAATATCTATCAGATTTCTAATAATTTATTTTTTAATTTGTAAATTATTTCTAGAATATTTATCTAAAAAATTTGTTTATATAGTATATATTATCTAAAGTTATTAAGTATTTATATTTTATAAAATAAATAAACTTTTTTACTAAAAAATAAATACAAAATTTAATCTATAAATATAATAAAATAAATTCTTTCTGGACATATTTACAAATTAAATTTTGTATTTACTTCTTAATAAAGAAGTTTATTTATTTTTTATAAAATACAAATATTTAATAACTTTAGATAATATGCACTATATAAAATCTTATTTTTTAATTCTTTATTAATAATAAAGTTTTATATAATTTTAATAAACAAAAAATTAAATTAAATAAATATAAATATAATTTAGAATTTATATATAATTCAGATTGGTTATATATAATTTGAACAAAATTAGAGTTATATTAGAGCTACATTAAAGTTGTAAAAATTTTTTATAATATTTTTTATTTGTATTTTAAACAAATTTATTATTTTATTATCAAAGAATAGCTACAATTTCTGACAAAAATAATAGTGAACATGTTTTTTGCTTATATCTTATTAAGAAATTATTTAAAAATTATAAGAATTTGTAGATATATTCTTTAGAATTTTAGGAACAAGTTTTTTTTAATAATATTTGGAATCAGACCAGATTAACTCAGGCTTTTTAACATCCCTAAAAATTAGTAGCACAGTATGATTAATTATAACATAATTCCTTAATTCAATTCAAAATCCATAATTTCCGCTCTCAAAATCACGATACAAAAGATCATGTGACTTCATTTTGATTGGTTAACATTATATCAGTTCCAATCAACAACACTGGACTAGTTTACTAAAAATTTAGTTATTATGTAAAGGCAGTGTGGAGCAAAATTATTTTAACTCTTGCAATTTATAACCCGTGTATTATAATCGTTATACGTTTAGTAAATCGAAATCAGGTGATAAAGACTACCGAATTGCTGGATGTAACCTATTACAAAATGTATCAATGTATTGGCAACATCTTACCGTTACATTTCTTCAATATTTTTAGTAATGAATACTTTTTTAGTCACGTAACTCTTCAGCCATCATTAATAACTTCCAGCAAATAGCGTTAACGATAGGAAAAAAACATTTTAATCTTCGCCAAAAATAAACTTTTGTAGTACTGTAACACATATTTTGGTGGTTATTGAATGTGTATTGTGGCTTAACTTTCCATAATAGTCTATTTCTATCACTATAGTTATTACTAAATAACAAACAACACTTAAAAAAGATGGGGGCTAAATTTAAAATAATTATTAATAATAATAACGATAGACCAACATTCTACATATTTACGTTCATGTATCTTGTTTGCAATTATTTTTCAAAAAAAATATAGCATAGAGAAATAATATAATTATAGATTCCTTTTTTTTAGGAGAATTTTTGGTTTGTTCGAGGGTTTGGCTCACTTTATTTTACGGGAAAACCGTTATGATAATATAGTACTTGCTTTAAATTTGGTCATAACAATAAAAATCAATGGCAAAAATAAAACAACCGGGAAAAGTTGAAGACGAAGATGTGTACCATGAAGTCCGTGGGTTCGATACGAATGGCGGACTTCCAACAAATCTAAAAAGAGGGCTAAAAGCAAGACATTTGACGATGATTTCTATTGGGGGAACTATTGGTGTGTAGTTAATTTTGGAACACGGGATATTTAAAAATTAAATCGTCATTAATGGCTGAATAATTAAATAATCATATCGATATCTTTAATTTTGGGATTTAGGCACTGGTTTGTTTCTAGCGTCTGGTGGCGCTGTTGCTAGTGGTGGACCAGGCGGAGCTTTAGTCGCTTACATGATTGTCGGTGTCATGATTTATTTTATGATGGCATCGTTGGGAGAGATGGCTACATATTTACCAATATCAGGCTCGTTTAATAGTTATGCAAAACGGTATATTGATCCAGCATTAGGATTTGCACTCGGATGGAATTATTGGGTTCGTATAAAAAATCAGATAAGCCGACATATATCACGTGACTGAAATTTATTATTCGTCATGCAGTATTCATGGTCGGTAACAGTAGCCGTAGAAATAACAGCTGGTTCGATTGTGATGCAATATTGGAATAGATCCGTTCCAACTTGGGTTTGGAGTCTAATTCTTCTAATGATCATGCTTGGGTTGAATTTATTCTCCGTGAAAGGATATGGTGAAGCAGAATATTGGTTCTCGTTAACAAAAGTAATTCGAAAAAAATTCTATGCGTTATCTTGATTCGATCATCATTTGAATAATTAATAATCAAGTTCATTTACAATCGGTCATTCAAAAAATAGTTATTAACAGTATTAGTATTCATTATTGTTGGTTTCTTATTGGATCTTGGAGTGATTGGTGATCCTCCAACAAAAATTGGTGGCTCTGTTTTTGGTTATGAAACATTTCACGCGGGATTCACTGGTTTATTTTCGGTGTTTCTTGCTGCTGGTTTCTCGTTTCAAGGTACCGAACTTGTTGGTATTGCAGCCGGTGAATCATCAAATCCACGAAAGGTATTGAATATAAAACTTTGTGATTAATTCGATAATTTTGTTTAATGTTTTTATATGTCCATCTCTATAGCATGTCCCAAAAGCCATTCGTCAGGTGTTTTGGCGAATTCTCTTGTTTTACATATTAGCCATATTTGTTATTGGTTTATTGATAAAATATGATGATCCGCGATTGCTGAACAATTCCGGGCCTAGTGGTGTCGCCGTCAGTCCTTTCACTTTAGTATTTTCGATGACTGGATTTACAGCGGCGCCCCATCTAATGAACGCAGTTATTATGATCACAGGTATTCGAAAAATACAACGAAAACAAAACCAAGTTTTTATGCTTCATATTATTTTCTTAACATTTTATTAATTTGTACACGAAAAATTAATTGAAAAAATTAATTTTTACGTTATAGTTTTATCGGCTGGCAACTCTGGATTATACGCGTCATCACGTGTTTTATATAATTTAGCCTTAGAAGGGTTTGCACCAAAAATTTTTGGTAAAGCAAGCAAAAACGGAATTCCCATCGCTGCTTTATTGATGACTGCGAGCGTTGGATGTTTCGCGTTCTTTATGTCATTGTTTGGTGATGGAAGAGTTTACACTTGGTTGCTTAATCTTTCGGGGGTGTCTGGTTTTATCACATGGGCTGGTATCAGTTTCACACATTGGAGATTTAGACGAGCATACGTTGCTCAGGTAAGTTTTTATAATTGGAAACATGAATTTTATCTTGATGGCAATACTCTAGTTTGATTATATATTATATTGATAAAAAAGAAACGGCCAATGTCAGAACTGTACTACCGTGCAAGCTTTTATCCATTTGGTCCAATTTTTGCTCTCGTCTTAATATTAATTGTGATTGGCGGACAAGGCTATGTCTCTTTACAAATGCACGAAAATGAAGGCAAATACAATTCACAAGCATCTGCTATCATTGCCGCGTACATTGGTGCCCCTGTATTCCTACTCCTCTATCTTGGCTTTAAATTCATAAAAGGAACCAAAATTGTTCCTCTATTAGAATGCGACTTTGATACGGATCGGCGTGTGTATGATCCAGAAGTCGATCCTGCTCTTGAACGTTCACAGGAGAAAAAAGTCCACGAGAATATTATTTGGCGAGGGGTGAAGGATGTTTTGTATTAGTTCATAAATTAGAATTTTCATCATTTGGGGGGTGGATAAATTATGAGATGAGCGAGGTTTATGATTGAGTTGTTTAATTTATTTCATTTTAAACCTTTCTCTCTTTTATACATAAAAAGCTCTTCGTTTCGCGAATTTTCTTTTCGATTAATGACAATAAAAAAATTTTCGATGACTCGAAGCTAATTTTTTTCATATATTCAAAAAATTACTGATTTTACCATTAATTAAGCAATGTAAAACAAATACAGTCAAACCTCTCTAGTCACTACCTTTGGAAAAGAGAAATTGGGTGACTGGAGAGGTGTGACTATAAAAAGTAATTAAAGTCATTTAATAGTTGTAATGATTGTAGAGGGTAAAATTATAATAAATGGGTTTAACTGTATATAGTGATAAGAAAATACTAAAAAATCTGAATGGTGCTCGTGATTTGTGCTTAGGGACAGTGCAGGATCATGTGGCCTTCAAAAATCCACGCTCACGTGATCACAGAAAATTGACAGGTTATTTTATCGTTTGAATTAGAATTAGAATTAGTGCTGAGACATGTTTTATTTTTTGTGTCAAAGACCACGTGATTCAGCATTATCTCGAAGCATTTTTCGATTAGTAAAATAACTAAAAATAACGATATTTTAATCACGTGTAATAAAGCAAAACAATTTTTATATTATGATAATTCGTGCTGATACTATAATAATTTAGCATCAATATAGTATCAATCTGAATTATAATAAATGTTAACCAATAAAATTACGTTCATGTGATAAATATTCACGTGATTTGTTTTAGATTATATAAAAGTGATTAACTTTAAATATAAAGTAAAATTTCTTTTAATAAAACTTATTTTAAAAATAAACTTACTAATTTAATTTTTTTAAATTTGATTTTTGTAATTTAAATTCCTATATTATATTTTAAAAATATTTATTAATAAATTAAAGATTTATTTAATTTTTAATATAAATTTGTATATTATTATCATTTTGAACTTTTATATATGAAAGTATTTCAAATGGCAATAGGTGACAAATAAGTGTCACGTACTTGCTGCGCCATTTCTATTCATGATAATTTACTTTTAATTGTGACTGAATGATGTTTATAATGAAATAAAAATGATAAAACTAAATCTAAGACAAGATTAAACTAAAAGAAACTTAACCAAAAATTACTTTTTAACTTTAAAAATAAATCAAACCAATATAACTAAATTAAATTAACTTAAAATTAAATCAAGAAACTTAATTAATTCAAAAAAACTTTAAATAAAAACCAAATAATTTAAATCAAACTCGAAGAACTTGAATTTTATTAATTATCGATACTTGTATTTATATATATTTTTCATATAACAATAATATATTAATGTATAACATGATATAATATAATACAGTTATAATATAATATATAATATAATAAATCTATATTATTACTATAAAATTATTGGTTTTCTTTTAATTATATGAAAAGTTAATTATATTATAATTAATAATCTTGTTTTATATTAAAGTATTAATAACAAAAATAAATAAAAAATGATAAATTTGTTAAGAGAATTATGTAATTAATATATTTAAATTAAGATAATATTATATTTATTTTCAAAAATTTTTAATTAATGAATCTTTTAAAAATAATAGAAAACCATAAAAATTTCTAAAAATATTAAAAAAATATTAAATTAATAAAAATAATTTATATAAATATTATTTAGTAATTATAAATTTTTAGTTCAATAATTTTTATCTTTTTACCTTTATTTATTTATATCATATTTATTTTTTTTATTTTTTTTTATAATATTTTGTAATATAAATAGTATCAAAATGTATTGAGAATTTTTGTATAAATAAGAGTGTTATTTTAATATACTTTTTCATATTTTAATACTTTAAATAAATTAATAAATTTTTATTTTTATTCTAACAAGTTAACTAATTGTATCTTGTTATTTTATCATTAATATTTATTCTTTATCTTTATTCTATCAAAAAGAGTTATTTGACTAAAATAATTTGTTTAATCAAACTTTAAATTTTGTTATTTAAGTTACTTTTTGTAAATCTTAAGCAAGATCAAGAAATTGTTTAGAATTAAATTTTTAATTATTTGTTTATTGAATCTTTAAACTTTAAAAAAATGAAATATAATTTTTTTGTTAGAAAATTTTTGAGAGTGAATTTTTACAGATTTTTAGATTCAAAGATCTGTACAAAACTATGAATCTGATGATAATTGATAAAGAAAAATTTTTTAAAAAATTTGTACAGATCTGTAATAAAATGTAGATCTGTACAGATTTTTAAATTTTTTTTAAAAGTTTGTACAAAACTTCGCAATATCAATTTCAAGTAGCAATAGCAATTTCAAGCAGCAGTAGCAATAGTAATTTTAAGTAATAGTAGAATTTATAGATTAAACAATAGTAAAGAATATTTATTTTATTATAAAGTATATATATAGTAATAAAATATAAATTAAAAGAAAATTATATTATATATATTTACAATTCAAGTTAGTGATCTTTTAAATAAAAAATTAATTTTTTTACAAGATTTCAAAAAAATAAATTGCAAAGAGTATTAAAGAAACTTATAAAATTGTTATAATTATCATCTTTCTCATTATTATTATTATCTTTAATTATATTTTCAGCTCGTAACTTTTAATATTTTTTATTTGCTACTTGCTCTGTCTCTTTGATTTTTTTTTTCACTATTTCTGTTATTATTTCTGATATTGCTGACTGGTTATTTTCTATAGCTCATTAAATATTCAATATATGAATAATTTTTAATATAAATTTTAAGCAAATTCAAAGTATTACTTATTATAAATGTGTGAACATGTCTTGTTACTGATTTATCTTTGTATTTGATAAATTGAAGAGAATATTACAAATAACTAGAATAAATACAGTTTATTATCAGTAATACTTTCTTTTTATATTAGTTAAATACTATATAACTGATATTTGTAAGCAATTCATTGTTAAGGAAGAGATTTTTGTATGTATTTCAAGTTTTTTTACTTTTTTTCATTCAGTAAGATAAATAGAAAAAATATTATTATTAACTCTTACTAATTTTTCTTTATTAAATATTAAAAAGATAGCATTTCATTATACTCTATAATTAAAGAAGAAGAGATTGATCAATACATGATCAAAACTGAAAAATTATCCAAAGAAATCAAAATCAAACCATTTATACCTCTTGATATTTCCAATTTACAAAGTACACTTAATGAAATTTATCAATTTTGCAAAGAAACTCAGAATAAACTCAACCAAATGAAAACTAATGAAATTTCAAAAGATAAAAAAAGCATTTACAAATTCTGTAAAGAGACTTCTGATGAATATTATAATAACTATACATACCAAAAAAAATGAAACTAGAGACACACTTCTTGCTATCAAAGTTTATAATGATGAAGACAAAGATTAAATACCAGAATATGCTTATGAAAATGATACTGGCTTTGATGTCAGATATACTGGAGAAGAACCACTTATTATTAAATTACAGCAGACAAATATGATTGATATTTTCATTGCAATGGAAATACCTGAAGGAATTGTGTGTTGTCACCATGTGATAAATTTAACATTTGATATAAAATATATCATGTTATTTATAATATATTTCTATTGGATGTTTAGTAAATATATGATCTACAAATTATAACTCTTTTTAGTTCATACTAATTCTTTAGATTTCATACTATTTCATTCTAATTTCATTATATTTCATACTATTTTGTCTTATATCTTTTATATTTCATACTATTATATTTTATATCATTTATATTTCATATTATTCATTTTTAATTCATACTA